ATCATCTCATCTCTTCTTTTATTGTCCTGCATCCATAATTCACTTGTAGTGCCTGCCAAGTGTCAGGTGATGTGCTGTGCATTGAGGATGCAGAATTGAATGAGACCTGATTTCTAACCTCAGAGAGGCCACAATCTAACAGACAAGTCAGACATATGGAAAAGTCACACTGACCCAATGTGATAGAAGCTATAAGAGATGAATGACCAGAGTGTAATCCTAGAGAAGATGTTAGATGCCAATTAGGGGCACGTGTGTGTGCGCGCGCGTGCGTGTGTGTGTGTGTGTGTATCCTATAGTAAGAGAGAAATGCTATTTACTTATGAATTATTCCAATGTATTTTCACTTCTGCTGCCTAAAAGCCCCCAGGATTGTAGCCAGTTAGGTCAAAACCAAGCTTATTTGACAAACCTGGGTCTCTTAGCAGTTTGTCTGGTTCTTTTCTCATTACATAACTCTGTTTCCTATTTCCTTCTCCAAAAACAAAGAAAACAAAAGTTCCCTTCATCCTTGGGTCTTGAGCTCTGGATAGCTCCCTGAGTCCCAGAGTTTAGCTGGTGCCTTCCTAATTCACCTAAGAGGAGCCCAGTAAATATTTGTGAAATTCATGAGTGAACGCTAAACTCCTCGAGGGCCAGGATGTGCTCTTCTCCTCTCTGCGTGCCTGCTCATTGCCTTGCACACAACTGGCTCACATAAACATTTGCTGCATGGAGGAGCATTGTGTTAGAGCAGAGTCAGCACAGTGTGTCGTATAAGCCAGGGGTGGAAATACTGGTTCTGTTTCCTGCTGGTTGTATGCCTGGGGGTGAGGGGTGCAGTTAGCTTTGCTCTTGGGACTCAGTTTTCTCATCTGTAAAATGGAGATATTCTATTATACTTGCTTAGTCTCAAGAGTTTATTGTGAGATTTGGGAAGCACCCCGTGTTGTGTTTATTACATGGTAGGGGTTCAATTAATGTTTACTCTCTACTTTTTTGTTGCTGAATTTGACTGCCAGCCCTCATCTGGGAGCATCTTCTGAAGAGGAGTCAAGTCAAGCTTTGCTGTGGATCCAGGATTAGCCCCTTTAGCTTTCCCTCATTCCATATCCCGTCCACTGGTGATTCCTGAGGCACACTCGCATCTTCTCTTTCTGATCTGAGTACTTGCCTTGCAGTCTGGAGCTTGGTGGGTTTATTGCATCTGATATCAGTTTTCTTCCTGCTAATTCCCTGCTCTCTGGTGGCCTTTCAAAGCTCTGAGTGGTGAGAGAAGCCAGGGATGGGCAGGCCTTGTTTTCCTCTTGGTTTTGTTTGCTTGGCACAGAGTATCTTAAGGCTAAAGGTTACATTATCATCTCTTCATAGCTCTATTATTGCCCTTCTGTCCTGGCATCAGAGGAATGGAAGCTTCCAGCCCCTAATTCACAGTGTTTGGACCTTTCCCCTGGGGAAAGCAGGGGTTATTTTGCTGAGGCATTTTCCTCATACATCTCTTTCTGCATGCTTTCTAAAGTTCAGCTACATTTAAAGGATGGAATGCTTTTCTAGATTAGGATCTCAGCAGGGTGGAAGGGTGATGTCACTGCAGCACAGTATGGGGAGAGGCATCACAGTGGGATGGGGTCTTTCTCAAGTGTGGTGCTCTAGTTACCACAGGAGGATTTCCGGACCCCACTCAGGACCCACCAAGTCAAACCTGCTGGGAGTGCGACCATAGAATGTGCACTTAAAAGGCAGTGACTGTAGCTCCAGCTGTATTCATGGAGTGGAAGCACAGTGCCCGGGGCACTTGGTCAAGGTCACACATTATTGAGACTTTAAGGAGTCTCCTCCTCTCTGTGCATCCCCATCTGTGCAATGAGGGAAATAGACTAGATTAATACCATTCCCATCTGAAGACTGTGATTCACCACCAAAACACCATTTTCTTCTACTGACTCAAAATGATTATTTTTAGGAACCTTTGACATGTTGAGCTTGCCTGTTAGGGAGACAAAAGTACAAAATACGAACCCCACTTCAATCTAGTTGAGAACACAAATCCTGTGACATCCAGAAAGTAACAGGATAGTGTTTGACTAAGTGCCAAGTTATGTAATTCCATTTTAAGTGCAATAGGACTTGAGAGAGACAGAGCTCTGATGCTTGTCATGGTCCTGGGAGGCTGCCTGGAGAAGGTGGGCTTCAAGTTGTTTCTTGAATGACAGGCAGGCAGGTGCAGGCGGTAATAAAAGGCTGTGGCACAGATGATACAATACAGCTTGGAAGAAAAAGCAGAGATGTGAGAGGAGGCTTGACTTATTTGTAGCACCTTGGGAAACATGAATTGCTAAAGCAGAAGCCAGCATCTTGAGAACCGTGGAAAGTGTTTTGAGGAGTACGTGTAGTGCGTGTGTGTGTGTGTGTGTGTGTGTGTGTGTGTGTAGTGCATTAGGCTAAGGAACTGAGTTACTAGGCTAAGGAACTGAGTTCATCATTAGGCAGAGGGAACCAGCAAAGATTTCTAACCAGGAAAATGCACGAACCAAGAGGCAGAGCTGGAACTATCTACCAGGAAGGCAGAAATAATGGTCCTTGAGGTGTGGAAGGGTGTGTCTGTCTGCATCGCCCAAGAGTAGACACCAACATGAGGTTAGGTTTACAAGAAACTTTTTTTTTAAGTGTTTTTGTTTTGTTTTGTTTTTTAATATTTTTGTTTATTTCTAGGAGAGAGAGAGAGACAGGGTGAGAAGGGGAGGGTCAGAGAGAGAGGGAGATACAGACTCTGAAATAGGCTCCAGGCTCTGAGCTGTCAGCACAGAGCCCGACGTGGGGCTTGAACCCACAAACCGCAAGATCATGACCTAAGCGAAAGTCAGACGCTTAACCAACTAAGCCACCCAGGCGCCCCACAAGAAAGTTATTAGGGACACAGAAGATGGAGTGTGGGAAGGAGAGGGTTTAAGCTTTAGGTAAGGAGACTAATAGAATGAGAGCAGCTCTGGGTTCTTTCCAGGGCATTCCAGACCCAGTTGTTTGTTAGAAGCCCTACTGGTTAAGTGGAATTCTAACCCCCTACACCTCTTTCTTTTCTCTGTGTGGACTTTGCACTTTTTGGAGGTTTTTTGATGTCCCTGAAGGCTTGATAGTGGGAGAAAATGAAATGGCCTAATTTGCTCCTGCAGAGCTCTGGATGGGTGTTCCTGACCTATTTCTAGAAAAGCATAGTTTTGAGTTTGTCCAGAATTTGGGATGGCTAGCACATAGCCAACCCATGTTTTTACCTGGTGACTGTGGGGATGTCTTTGTAGATGAAAGAAGATAAAATAAAGGGGAGGCAAAGTTTGTTGTGCATGTTAATCTAGCAAACAGGAATTATTGGTGCTGTCCTAGGCATTTGGTTGGAGAGGGTGGTGATAAGTTCCTTGTTTTCAACAGCCTTTGAATTTAACAAATGAGGAAACTCCATGAATGAAAGAGTCAAGGACCACTGAGTGGCTGTGGGGAGCAATTCTCTGCAATGGATATATTCTCCTTACTGTTGTGCTATGTCAGTAAGACAGCTTTGTAGATTTTACTGTTCTGCAAACAGCCATTTCATTGATGTGTTTCTTGGCTTGGCTGTTTCTTGCCCACTGACCACTCTCCTTCAAAGAATGCATGCTTGGGAAGAGCCCTTCAGTTGTGGCCCTTCAGAGAAGTTGAACATCCCAAACCAACTTTGCCATGGACTCTCTTTGACCTATAATGGGTCACATCCTTGACTCTAATTTTTTTCTTAGTTTATATAAAAGTAATGGAAATGGTGCAGACCGACCTCATGGGGTGTTGGATGTGAATAAATCTCAAAGCGAGTGTTCTATTGTCAGTGAGATGCCATAAAAATGTTCAATATAATGGCTGATTATTTTTCTTTAATCTTAAATAGATACCTAGAATGGGAAAGTCCCATCTTAGTAGCAGAAATTCATTATCTTGGAAAGAGTTTAATGGCTGCTGTGCAAATGAACTGGAGGAAGTTAAATTGTGGAGTGGGAAGGAGCTGAAAAAAGTGAAATGAGTTGTGCATTAAATTTAGATAAACACAATTATGTGTAACTGGATTATCACGTGTGCAGGCAGGCGCTGTATATTAGGCACCTGCGTTTTGATTAAAATCGATTCAGGTGCATGGGCTTGGCATCCTTGTGATTCAGAGTTGTGCCTAAGCCACTGTCCAGGCACACAGCAGGCAGGCAGGGAAAAGTCGGATATCCAGGCCCCCAGCTGGAGAAGTTTAAAGGGTGTAGGACCAGACTGACCAGCCCAAGATCATTTCAGGAAGCTGCTAACCCTATTAGAAAAAGTTCCAGCTCTTTCATTTACAGCTTACCTTTGGGTTTCTTCATTTCAACTGAAGTCAGGAAAGTGGTCCTGGAGTCCAGTGGAGTCCAATGACTTGCTTAGTCCATGATGAAGACAGATGTCAGATGGTAGACGGCAGATGGCATCAGAGGATGTTAGGGACTGGGCCTGTCTTCCATTCAAGGAGATGTGGCTGCTGAGGCCCTAGTAATGGAAACACAAAATCTCTTTGAACCCATCTGTAGATGGATGGAATTAGGCTCAGTTCTTTCTTTCCATTTTAGGTCCAAGTCTATAAGTTGGAGTCATCTCCAGATCAAAAGCAAGCCCGTCCTCTGATCCCTGGGTGGCTGTACGAGTGATCAGAGCCAGCCGGCCAGTACCTCGCCTTGAAGGAGGACAGATGTAGAGAAACGACTGTCGATACCCAGTTAATTCCTGTTGGCATGTTTTATTTCAAATGCAAAGCATTGTCAGGATTAAAATAAATGCTACCAGTTATGGGATGCATTAAATTAATAATTGTTTTCCCTTGCTTGATCCTATAATACCCCTCCACTCAATGAATAAATACTAAACCCTCCTCTGGGTGATTTGAGATGCACTGTATATCATTACACAAACTAAAGTAAGCTTCCTTTTTTTCTCCCCTTTGTTCCTCTTCTCTGCCCTCCTCCCCATCCCCATCGCAGGTTATACTTATCCTGACGAAGCTGTATGACTTCAACCTGGGGAGCGTGACTGAGAGCTCATTGTGGAGGTAAGTGGATTAGAGGTTCTTAACAAGCTACTCTGGCTCGGCTCACATGAAGAATGCCAGCCACGGGGGTGGGAGGCACGTTTTGGAAGAAGCAGGACACAGTGCTCCTCCTGGAAGACCTCCTTAATGCCCCCGGTGGAATGCCCTACCTGTGACGTCCCAGAACATGCTGCTGATCTCTTTGGGGCCCTGTCAGACCCCTGGTTGCTTGCTTCCATTGTTGCTGCTGCGTTCCTGTGCAGTCTAGTTCTGCTTGGTGAACACACGTGTGGTTAGAGAGATCAGGAGAGCCTGCCAAGAGTGAGAAGAGCCGTGGGTCAGGGAGTGTGCCGAGGGGAGAGCCTTGCCTTGGTGTGAGTCTTGGCCCAAGGACCATTTCCAGTCCTGTGCATCTGTGAGATGCTGTGGTACTTCCATGTGCTTGTAGGAATAGATACATGTGGGGATCACGTGGTGACCTTCGTGGGCTCCTTAATATAAATATTAAATTTTTTTTTAACATTTATTTATTTTTGAGAGAGAGTAGGGGAGGGGCAGAGAGAGAGGGAGACACACATCTGAAGCAGGATCCAGGCTCTGAGCTGTCAGCACAGGGCCCAACACAAGGCTCGAAATCATGAACTGTGAGATCATGACTTGAGCTTAGGTCAGATGCTTAACCGAGTGAGCCACCCTATATATATTTTAGTAAATTCAGTATACATATTTATAAATATTTACTGTAATTAACATTTATGATATATTTAAAAATTTATTATATGTTAAAATGTATATTGGTAATACATATATTTTAATATATATTGAAATGTATATTTTATGGCTGCAGTGGTATAAAGATAAGTGCGTTGATACAGTATATGGAAACTTTTTTCAGCCTCAAAGTTCATTTTTGGTTTGGACTTTAAAAGAATCAAACACATTTTTGTGGGTTCCTAAAAGTATGGTAAGCCCTAGGCACTGTGCCCATTGTGCCTGCTGGGTAAGTTAGCTCTGACGAGACCCTGGTCACAGGGGACAGAAAGAAGGGTGCGGGTGGGTTAGATCAGAGAGAGCTGGGATGAAGCAGACACCTGAGGGGTTTCTCTGGACGGGCAGCTTCGGCACACTCGCCCTTCTCTGCAGCGCGCATGTGCACACTGTCGGCAGTCACACCGGCCAACAGCAAATTACATCAGTGGCTCTGAGATGGCATTTCACACTCTGGGAAGGCTGTGTGTCTGTCCCTTTTGCTTCGTCATTTGTAAACACTTGGGGGTGGGAGGAGGGGGAACAGTGTCACAAAAGGCCATTCACTTGGCTGCATCATCATCCCAGAGTTCTGTCCTGAGGGTTTCCTGAGGTCTTGGAGCAGAAGTGGTCTGGGGCATGAATATCTGTGTGCCTTGCTTCTTCTTCATCTGACCTGTTTATTTGCAGAGGACTAGCCAGAGTTTCTTTCCCAGGAAGGAGGACCAGTCACAGCATCTATTAAATATTTAGGGGTTAATTGCTCATATCGACTCAGGCCTGCCTCCATTTGCACAGGATGTCCCAAACCTAATTTTGCTGCTCAGTGAAATTTGGCAGAGATATAAGTAACCAGCGTTCCTTTGATAGATAAGAGCATGGCTATTTCCACTCACATAGGACTCCCGGGGAATTAGAGCCTCAAAACCTGCCGCTCGGGCCCAATCAAAGTGATACTGTGGTGATACCTTCAGCCTGACTCCTGTGCTGTCTTCGGAGGGCAAATAATGAAACAAGCCAGAAAAGCTTGTCCTTACAATGGGAGAAGCTCTCCCTGGCAGCCCATGTTTCATGAAAGGTTTGGCTAGTTCTAGGGGTGAGCCAGGCACCATCACAGGCCCGGGCCTGGTGCTTACTGCTAGAGGCTCTTGAGTGATAAAGTGTGTGGCCCGTGGTTATAAGAGCCAGTGTATTCACTGGTGTGTACCAGAGACTGTAGGCAGCCGAGTGAGTGGCCTCAAGCGCAGCCTGATGTGCACTTGCCAGGATTTAGATCCTACCTCAGCCACCCAAAGAGCTCTATAACTTCGGGCATCTTTCTTAATTTCTCTGTATCAGTTTTCTGGGGCTTCTGTGACACAGCACTACCGACCTGGTGGCCTAAAGCAGCAGAAATGTACTGTCTCTCAGTTCTGGAACCTGGAAGTCTTAAATCAAGGTGTCTTTAGGGCCACACTCCCTCTGGAGGCTCTGGGGAGAACCCTTGTCTCTTCCAGCCTCAGTGGCTGCTGGCAGTTCCTTGCAGCCTAAGGCTATGGCCCTCCCTCTCTGCCTGCATCATCTCCTTAGCCCTCTCCTCTCTTGACCCTTATAGGGACAGTTGCTGTTGGAGTTAGACCCCAGGATAGTCCAGGATGATCTCATCTTGAGATCCCTAATTACATCTACAAAGATCTTTTTTTTTTGGTTGGTCACCATTCAACGCATTGCTCTTTCCCTGGATGTAAGTTAGAGGTAGTACAGAACTCCCCCTTTGCTGCAACCACATTGTTCTCGCCTTTCCTGAGACACACTGCCTTTTCCCTACATGGTCCTTACCCTCTAATCTTCCTGCTCCTCTCCAAAAGGGGTGGGCAGTGCCTCTGTTCCTTACATCCTCTGTTCCCTTAATCAGGGAGGCCTTTCCCCAGGACTTCACGTTCCATCACTCAACTTGCATTTTCTTCCTTAGTACTTCCCACCATCTGGCATGCTAAATATTTATCTTATTGATTGGTTTATTGTCTGTCTGTACCCACTAACATCTAGGCTTGTAGAGAGAGACTTTTTTTTCATTTTAATTCAGGGCTATACTTTCAGCACCTACAACAGTATCTGGCACACAGGAGATAATAAACGTTCAATGAATTAGTGGATGATTTGCAAGGACTAAATGAAACAAGAAATGTACAAACCCTTAAGAGTGACTCACATGTAGGAAGTGTTCACTTAAATGTAATGATTAATTATTATAACCCTCTGTGTCTCTATAGCATTCATTCCATTATTGACTTTGTTTATAAGGATCTGCTGATGCCAGGGTCCATGTGATAGAAATTATAGGGCACCAAGGGGATATTTCCATGTGATGGAAATTATAGGGCATCATATTCTGTGATATGGATGAATGAGCAGAGATCTTTAGGGGATTAGGGAAGGGAGAAGAGTGATTTAGATTGTTGTCCCTTGTGCTGATTGGAGGGAATTGAAGTATCAGTTTCTAGCAACATGAGAACGTTCCTCTGTAGACAAGATTCTCTGAGCTGGGGCTTGGACTGATGGGTGGGATGTGATTTGGCATCAAGAAGTGGAAAAATGTCCTTACCACAAGGGAAAAGGCAGGTAAGCCTGGGCTACAGGAGAAAAGGGGGCCAAGCAGCAGGCAGAGAGAGCAGCTGGTCTTGGACCAGGGAGGGAATGTTTGGGGTCTCATCATGTTCATAGAAGGGGCCAAACTAGAGTGTTACACTAAGCATGGTTTACAGATAATAGATTAATATTGGGTGACCTTACAGGGAGGGATTTGAAATGCTGGTGGATATTGTAAGCTTTCTCTCTGGGTAAGTGTTATATATGAATGTGTTTTTATGCTCTTGTTTTCAAGGGTTCATGGGTCTGATAAAGCCCTGTTTAGCAACCCCTGCTTAGAGCTAGAGAGAGAAAAGGGGATGCTTCTATCCTTTGGGGAAATTTGCCAATGTGCTGGGGCCTCACAGGGTTTCTTCGAACCTTTCATTGTCTACCCTGCTCTTCCCCTAAAGATCTGCATCTCCCATCCTCTTTTCTGTCCCGATAATGATGATGTATTTTGCAGTTAGAGCCTAGAGCATTGTGATCTTCCTTACTAATACAGTGTGCAGAGAAAAAAGAAACTAAATTAAACACACACCCTTTCAGTTTTGTGATTTGGCCCAACATGCTTAACCAAGTTGAAATTGAATTTAGGGGATTCTTCTTCAATTTTCTGTACAGCAGAGGAGCCCGGAGCTGCAGCTGTCATGACCAGGTTACAGTGGGATATAATTATTCGCCTCACCAGATTAATAATTCAGAGGCCATCTACTTCTAAATAGACAAAAGGCTGTTTAAAAGCATTCAGTAGGGTAGCAGTATCTTAAGCCCTCATGACATTCTATATGAAACTACTTGGTGCAGTTATACTGGAGGGGGTCACATTTTTTTCTCCACCAACGCAAGGATGGCTGGATATTAATAACTGGTTATTAGTACAACCATCTGTTCGTATCCTTTACTCAATGGACATTTTCTGTAGAGAATTCAAGTTTATAGACAACGTTGGGGACTGCTATTTTATAAAAGATCCAGGGCTTTGCTTTCAGGGTGTTTTCAGTCCATAGTGTGTCAAATATGGAGGTTGCCCATCAGTCAAGAGTGATGCTGGCACCCAGAACTGTTAGATTTTATAAAAGCCTGACCCAAAAAGGAGAGATGAGTTCAAGTCAAAAGGCTGACTTGAAAAAGCTGACTTCCTGGTCATCGAAGTGATTAAGAATTGAAGCTTGGAGATTGATGGCCTGGGTTCAAGTCCACACTCCTCCACTTAGCCTCTGAGTGACCTTGAACAAGTTTCTTCACCTCTCTGTGCTTCTGTTTCCTTACTGTACAATGAGGATTATACTGGCTCCCACCTCATAGTGTGGTTATGATGTTTTGCATAAAATACAATGTGTAACTGCCCAGCAAATTGCCTGGCATACAGTGCCCACCCATGGAAAACACTCAAGGAGGGTTGGTCATCCTCATGGAATCTGGTAATTGAGCTGCTTCTCTGTGCCAGCTTCTCTACCTGACAACAGTGTAAGAGAAGATGTGCCCTTTGAAAAGCAACCAGGTTGCTCAGCCAGTTTTCCTGGGGCCCACTGAGGGGAGAGAGGAGTTCCCGGTGAAGGTGTTTATGGAGCATACCACCCCCTGGGTGCATCTTCCTGGGCAGCTTCCTTGCCCCTCCTTCCTGAGTGGGGTGCCCTTGTTCTGCTCACCACCAGCATCACTTA